AACATTTTATTTATGTTGCTCATTGATTGTTCAGACAAAATGCTAGTTATGTTTATATTTTATTGCGAGCATAAGCATAACCAGAATGGAAGAAATACAGCAGTGAATACGTAGCGCTGGGCTTCATCTGCGTGGGAACTGGAAACGAGTAACTACAGCTCTGTGCTGTTTGCTCAGGGGTCTTTTTGAATGAAGCTTTGGAACTCAGCAACTTATACTGTCACTCAGAGACTAAACACAGTGAATGTGTGTCTAAACCTGTCGAACTGAGTCACAACTCTGTTTGCAGCTTTCCTCTCTTTAGCCTGACATCCGGCACTCGGTAGCTACCAAATTATCCTTAAATCTGCAGAAACACACAAAAGTGGTTGTTTGTGTGGCTGCAAGTTGGGAATCCCTGAGGCCGGTCTGGGGTGTTTTTTTCCTCCCCAGTTTGTTCGAATCCCATAATCACACAATACCAGGAGGGCAAAAGCAAATAGAGGCTTCCTCCAAGACATGTGAAGCCAGCCACCACATCTTGGCTTTCCTTTTTTTTCAGAACCATCAGCCAACTGTGTTTGCAGACTGTAGAATTAGACCTCCACATTTAACCCATCCGTGCAGTGAAACACCCACAAACATGCACACTAGTGAACACAGACACTAGGGGGCAGTGAGCACACTTGCCTGGAGCGGTGGGCAGCCCTATCTACGGCACCCGGGGAGCAATTGGGGGTTAGGTGCCTTGCTCAAGGGCACTTCAGTCATGGACTGTCAGCCGAGGGGATCGAACCAGCAACCTTCCGGTCACAGGGATCTGCTGTATTATATGTTTTATGTGTAATATTACGTTCAATATGTGTTATAATATATATGTGTTATGTGTAATCAGTGTATGTTTTATGTGAGCTGTACAGAGGACAATGGGAGGACATTGTAAACAATTATTCCTGGCTGTCTATTATAGGTTAAGAACAGCTTTTGTTGTTGTACCTAATTTGACAATGTACAGGCAACAGTGTGCCTGAGCCAGCCTATATAAACATAGACATTTTCTATGTCGAGCAGGTCAGCTTGTCGTCTGTGAACCATGTGCACAATGAAGAAATAAAGATCAATGCTACAGATGCAAGGCTGGCCTCCTGGTCCTGTTTCTAAAGAAAGAGGGATCTAAAAATTCTACATCTGGTGCCGTGACTCGGATATTGCATGACCATCGATGTGAGTCAAGAACCAGTAAGATAGCCTCCTTATGTTGATAAGACTACAGTTGTCTCCCATCTAAAGTTTGTAGCTGGTCTCTGTGTGACATTTCAGACTTTCACCTGACTTGGACTTTAGACTAATATCTTTATGTTTTGAATGAACTTAGACTTTTATTAGGTTTATTTTATTAAAATAAATGATTAACAATTCCATTTTGTCACCACCAAAACAATCAGAACACTTTCACAATTTTACCAAATGTTTCAGTCGTGATCATTTTAACAAATTTTGAACATAACTCAAAAATGCTAACCAGTACATGACTAGCCTTGATCAGTTATACAGACACATATAATCGTAATATTTTGATGGGATAATTTTCCATTGGGTGTTTGAAAAATTTAACCCTTTTGTTTCCAACCAGAACGTAACAATGAAATAAAATTAGTACTACAGTAATTTCAATAGTTTGAGTTTAAAAAAACAAGCTTAATGATTCTCTTAAATAAAAAGGAACAAAAAATTACAAACGTAGTTTTTTTTATTTCTTCTCTTAAATTTCATCTAACAAAATTTCTAATTTTCTTATTATACAGATAAACATGTGAAATCCAATAAACATCATAATCAATATACAATATGAAATAAAACTGTATAAAAAACATGCAACAGTGTCACAACCAACATGAGGAATGATTTATCCATGTACAAACATGAGACCACATTGATAACCATGCATTGATTTAATTTACCAAATTATATTCAATAATCAGAAACAATGTGAAGAAAACGGCAAAGAATATTTAACAATATAAATAATACAAAAACATTGCTAATTGTTAAAATTAGAGCTTATGACTGATCTCCTCTAATATATGATATACTGAGATCTAGGGGTGCAACGATTATTTGCCTTAGTCGAATAAAATCGACGACCAAATTAATTGGCAACTAATTTAGTAGTCGATTAGTTGGTGACGTCATTATGTGTCTTTCTCACGCTCACTAGGGACATTTTGACATTACTGCTCACTGGAGAGTTAACAACAGCGTGATGGCAGCCTCAAGAACAAAATCCTCAAAAGTGTGGGAGCTAAACTTAGAAACAAGGTTGTCAGTTGTGCTGTTTGTAAAGCTGACCTTGGCTGGCATGAGAGCACATCGTCCAGGTTGGAGCCTCTCAAGAGGAAACTTGTCGGCTCACTGGATGAAGAAGATTCATCTCGGTAAGATACGCACCGTCCCAAACCGCGTACTAGCATACTAAATAGTGTGTGAAAATAGCACATATACCATTAGAGGTGCACTCATTAGTGTAGTGTATGAAGTACAGAAGTGTGTGGTTTGGGACGCGGCGATAGTTGTGCTATCGAGTTAGTTAGCTAATGTTATTGCTAAAAGCCACTTACTTCATGTTATGAACCGAGCTGTAACATTTTCATTTTCGACATGCTGTTCTCTGGAATCGTCAGAAACCAAGTAACTATTACTATTATTTAGAGTTATTTACCCTGTTCACTTTCCAGATAACGTTTACACTTTTAAACACTGCATCGTCGTCTTAACGTTGAGGCCACCGGTGCGTTCAGATTCAGCGAACATAGGAGAGCGTTTACAAACAGTTTTCTGTTTTCCGCGAATGCTGGCCACCACTCGCTAACAGTTTAGGTAGCTGGACAAAGGATTACCATTGAAATGAAATGTTTTCACAAAATTGTTAAATTTCACTGTTCATAGAGACGTTTGCCACAAACATTCGCCACTTTCCCATCCACTCTATCAGAGCGCGTCTTCTCTCAGAGGAGAGCAAGACTCTCACAAGAGCACTGAGAGATACTGACTCTTCTCCGTTTCACTAAAGACCTGTGACTATAGAATTTAGTTGCAGCAAAGTGTAGACAGACAGCAGAGTGCACACAGCACAGACTGTACTGTCTAAATTTAACATTGAAATTTAGATTGATTTTTTATTTACTTAATTAAAGGAAAACTGATTTAGTTTTGTTATATTTCATTGCTGCTACTTTGCACATCCTTGGTTATACATTTTGACAGGAAAAATATATTGGAGTTTTATTTTTTATCTTTTGTATTAACAAAAAAGTTCATTAAAACAGTGATTTCTTAAATGTTATTCATCCTTACTGTCTTCATTGTTAGTTATTAAATGCATAAAACAACCTCAAGCTAAATTTAAAACCCAATAGCTACATAAAAGGTGTTTGGTAATGAAGTGATTCATAATCCGATTAATCGATCATTTGTTTCAGTAATCGATAGATTATTCGACTATACAACAGATGGAGTAGTTTGCTACATAAAACCCTGTTTGAATGTAGCAACTCAAAATTTTGTTGCTCTGGCTTTGTGTGAAATGGAAATTGTTGTAAGACTTCAGTTCTGCTGTTTTCATTTATATCTACATTTATGTTGACTGGATCCCTCATCCCTCCATTTAACACTTAACCTCACTTGAGCTAATACAGTAGCAGATCTTACTTAAGTGAATGTTAAGTCAATGAATCAGTACCTTAAAAATTTAATGAAGAGCGATTATGTTTGGTGATGTCAGTAATTCCCCAACTGGCCACCAGAGGTCTGTTTGACCCACTGGTGTTTGGAACCTCTGCCTGACTTCTTGGAATCAGCCTTTGCTCTTTTGTTCTTTCTGCATTGTCTGCCAGAGCCATAGGACTGATTTACTGCCTTGTTGTTAATAAACCTGCATATGGATCCCTCACACCTCTCTGAGTCTGCATTGTCACAGGTGATGTGTGACGCAGTGAATTCTGTGGGATGTTTTAATTAAGGATTTAAACAGAATGCATGAGAATGTGACTAATAGACAAGAGAAAAAGAAATGAGGAAAATCTCAAAGGGCCTCACTTATAAAACCTACTTAGTTCTAGACAGCAAGAGCTGTCTTTGTGATATACTGCATCACATAATGCAACATGGCCATTTCAGATGGATATAACCATGATTTTTTAGTCACCTCTGATCTTTTTTCTGGGATTAATATACTCATATTGAGTACACCTGATGTGGATACATTAATGAAGACAAAACAAAAGAGAAAAAAAAAAAACATTTGAAGTGCTATTGACTGTAACGTTGAAGCCCTAACAGCTTTCCCTGCTTGTCTTGAGGTGGGTTTGCTTGCTTTTCTGTGTAGATAATGTGGTTAAAGAGTTAATGAGGTCAGTCTCAATGCAGGCACAGGTTTTGACATATCCTGGTCAATATATTGTGTATTACTTATATGGCTTTATATAACAGTTGGTTGAGAAGCGTTCTAACTGTGCTGTTATTTCATCATAACATCACATTTTTTTTTCACAAACACTGTATTACTCTGCTGAGATGCTGTTGCTAAGCAACAACTTTGACAGCTGTAGGAGACACTCAAGCCATTTGCACGTCTTTACTTCTTACTTTGTGCACAACAGAAAATGGATACTTTTAAGATCACATTTGACCGACAGCCGATTTGGTCAGACTCTGAAGATGAGTCTACACTAAATTCTGAAACTGTCATCACCACTGAGCAAGCTTTTTAGTTGGCAGCTGTGACAGAAGAACATCTTAACAACGTGGAATCAGCCGGAAATGAACCGAATACCATTCACCAAACAAAATGGGCTGTAAGATGCTTTACAGACTGGCTGGAACAAAACAACATTAATACTGATCTAGAAAAAAAAGACAACACTGAGCTAAACTTGATATTGCAGCAGTTTTATGGCTCAGTCTGTACTTCAGAAGGCGAGGTTTACAGCAGACTGTGCAGCGAGTGAGCGGAGTTCGTTACTCTGACGTAACAACAAGCTGCTTGTTAAGGAACTATAATTTGGCGAAAGGAATTGCTAACATTAAAACTTATTAAATGCTGCATTCACGGCCTGGTTTATTAATTTTTTACTTTATTTAATCAACTGTTGTATAACAGCAATAGAACACTCGAGGTTGTATGTTATCGCAGATTAGCGATAACACACTCCCTCTCGTGTTCTGTTGCTTAAGTGTTTGACATCTGGCACTCATAGGATCACATATAGTCAGGTCCAAAAATATTTGAATGTAAACAAGGATAGTTCTTTTTGCTGTCTGTTACAGCATATTGGAGTTGAAATGAAATAATATGAGCTCAAAGTTCAGAGTTTCAGCCCTAATTTGAGGATATAGACATGCAAATCGGATGATTTAGATGTAAATACATACCTCCTGATCATATTCACTAATCCAGTGGTTTCTGGAATTCCCCCTGCCCTGCACATTGTAGTGTTTTCCAGCTCTCTACACATCCACTTCGTCATAAAAGGGTTGCTGTGCTATTAGTTGGATTGTGTGTGTTAGGAGCAGGGGAAACATGAAAATGTGTGGGGGGTACTCCAGGAACAGGGTTAGGAACCACTACATTAATCCACTGAACTCCAATATGTTGTGATAGGCAGCTAAAATAACAATAACTTTATTAATGACCCAATATGTACCTGATAGTGACTTCTCTCTTATCAATGCACCATCTCACAGACAATACTGTCTTGTTTGTGCAGTCATGTGACCCTTTCTAAGTTTCTTTTTTTGTGTATGTGACCTCCAAGTGTATTTTATAACAGTGATTACAGGCACCATTTAGAAACTCTCCTGCTTTTAAGTGTGTAGGGTTACATTATCCATTACATTTGGCTTGTTTTGTGATGGAGCCTTTTCTTCAGAAGCGATCTCTCTATAACTTAAGCACTTTTCTCACAGACCCACCCTTCTTTGAGATAACATGGAATGTCATTCCAGCACTTCCTATCTGTCATACTCAAAAGCTCCGCACAGTCCTCATGATTTGAATCATTTGGTTCACCTGGACACCAGAAACTGTAACCCAGAGAAACAAAACCAGGTTCTGATTAGTGAGTCAGGTTTAATGTTATGTGCTCAGATATGTTTCATATTATATGTTCAGTTAGGTTTAATATAATGTAGAATATAAGAGCAACAAAATCCTGGGCAAATAAGAAAATAACATAGTAAAACAATTTGCATACATTTACTCCTCTGTTCAAGTTCAAGTAAGGAAGAATGTTTAGAGTTCGTTTAGTTTAACTTGGTGTGTTTTCATGAGAGGAGAAGGAAAAATCTTAGTCACTTACTTAATGGTCAGTGCTGAGTCGTCTGTCCATTTCCAGTCCCCTTCTGTCTTTGTGTCAGTCAGACCAATCCAAGCTCGATCTCCGTACAGTGTTTTAAGCAAAAATTCCTGTAAACATGGTTGCACAGCATGAATATATTGCTGAAAATGGTAGCTTTCTTACATGCACATGCTCTCTCTCACCTGTTCTTCTCTGCTGTTTATGATCACCAGGTCTGCTCCTCTCTGTCTGCAGTCCTCTCTGCTCTCACTCCAGCTCTTCTTTCCAGTAGAGACATAGTACTTTTTGCCACCAAAGTCCAGCCATTCCTCCTGGTTACATGTATCTGTTTATAGAGCAGGACATACGAAGCTCAGTCGGACACTATGTTTTGAAAACAATTAATGTAATGTTAAATGTGTTATTTTTACAGTAAAGACATGCTGTCAATCCAGATACTCCAATAACTTAATATAGCAATCGTCTTTAACCTTTAGAATCCTAGGGTAATTGGGGTAAATTAGGGGTATTTTAGGTCAATTACAATTGCAATTCTAAAGTATTTACAAGAGACAGTCACACAAGGCATATGTTGTTATTTTCAGGAGACCCTGAGATATTCAGATGTGCCATTATTTGACATGTAAATGCTGACACAAATGTGATACCTTAATGAATTTGGGTCATTTTTGATCAAAAATGTACCTAGCGCTTGCAAAATTTTGTCATTTTTTGCTTATAGAGATCTTGAAAACAAGTGACACCTTAGATATCTTTTCAGAAATTGTTAGTCTGGAGTGTCTGTGAGCTGAAAGTGCAAGAATTTTGATGGTGATTCATTCAACTGGTAATTACTGAGTAAAAATAAACAATTAGCATAAGACGGCCATGTTTTTTAATTGATTCTCTGTCCTCTTGGATTCATGCTGAGTGCTAAACTGTAATACACAGCAAGACAGCTTTATTTTTAATTACAAATTGAGAGGCAGATAATAATATTTATATAATATTAATAATAATATTTGTCATTTATTGTTGTTTATCTCTTAAAATGTGTTTTCAGGTCCTGATTTTTTGTGTTTTTAAGGGAAGGTTTTAAGTCCACTCAGTGTAGTGGATTGGAACAGCACCTTTTGTCAGAGGACTGTTTGAGACATGAGGAGAAGTTCAAGTTTGTAGCTACATGTGTTGTGAGGCACTTTAAATTGGAGATTTAAATGGATGTAAACGCAGGATCTAAACTGGTGGTTTTCTGAACTGGATTACTGACTGAATCATTGTTGAATCTCCATAAAATTTACTCTGGACACAAAGGGTAAGTCCTGCTGAGCTGTGATGTAAATCGCGTTGCTGTTTTGACCCTTTTGCTGTCAGAAGAAAGCTGAAGCAGAGAGCTAATAGCAGATTTTACAGTGGTTCTGGCTGTGTGTTTGTACTGTATTCCTGGCTGTGGGATGTTAGAGCTGGTTTCTGTCACTCTGGCTAGTCAGAGCAGGTTCTGCTGAGTTCTGATGTGTGAATCATTTCATTATTTTCAGTGATTTGTTTATAATATGAAGGCTAAAAGCAGAGATATAATATAACAGTAGCGAGTTTTGGGTGACTTTGGAGCTGGACTGCTGGCTGATGGATGGTCACAGGTGGATTTCAGCTGTGCATTTTGCTTTGGGTCCTAAGGGTTAATAATGGGGTTTTACAGGAGGCTTTTAGTGACGGCTAATGTTAGGTAAATTTACGCACAACAAAGACAAAATACCCTTGTTTAAAAACACTGTAGAATTATTATTCTGGTATAAATCTTGAGATATAATTCAGTAACTAATAATATGTATGGAGTGAGTAAATGCAGTGTTACCCCACATAACAGAAAATGAGCCTATCAGGTTAAGAGGCTTAGTGATTTATGTCTTAAGACGACATATTAAATCTCTTAAAAAGAGTTTTTATCAATCACATATTTCATTTTAAGAGGCTCTGGTCAGGGATGGATTTACAGGGTGGCAAACCATGGCAGCTGCCCACCGAACTCTGTTATGTCATCTTCACTGGACAGAGTTTGTGGCTGTGGTGTGCAGATGCACATATAATAATAAAGTTTTTTTAAGTGTTGGTTGAGTGTATGCATATCTAGCATAGTCGTTGATGTGAATATTCTGGCTATTGATGATGATGACTGCACTGCTGTCAGACTGTAAACTGATTCCATATTTGGAAATGTTCACTATACTTTATAGTTCACTATATAAATCTGTTCTAAACAAACTCTAGAAATCTGACACCTGTGGTTAAACTTCCTAGATCCAGCACTGGTCCTAGCGGTGGAAGAATTTCTGGACAGGGGCGTTTTATCCATTAGCAGCACTAAGGCAAAACCTGACCTCTTTCTATGAAAAGAAGAAATAATAACTATTTTCACAGCATCCTCTGGAGGGTAGGATTTCCAACTTCTAAATAGGATAAATTCTTGCATTGACATTGTCAGACACCTGAGGCCTCTCCACTCATATGTTCCTCCTCTCATTTATTTGTGGGTTTCTTGGATCAAATAAAGCAATTATCAGTTGTAGTTAGCTAACAGTTACCTACTTATATCCAAAAAAGTTTAAGAAATGGGAAAAGACCTTTAAACTTTCGCTTGAAGCTAGGAAAATGCCATTTTGGTCAGGTGGTTCTTGGAAGGCAGTTTTGGATTTTGAATATCATTGTTGAACCACTTACACACGATAATAGCAAATGGGCGAATATGAGGAAAATAAATTATGCCCCCCAAAAAATAGCACCCCTTTGGGCTATATGTAGCAATGGTAGGTTTCTCATTGTACACAGGTATACTTAAAAAAAGGCAACTCCAGCTAGCCTGAATAATCTGTGCAGTGGTTTTCTACCTGCTGTTAAATCATTTTTGTTGTTAACCATTATGTTTCCAAATCTTCAACTCTCCTAAACAGAAAAGCTTTAACTTGTTCTATTGTATTGTGACGCCTACTAATACAGTGCTTATATGTGTAGCAATGAAGTGTTTTAAATGGCATTTTGGTAGTGGTGTGACTGAGGGTTTCATACAAAAAGGAGGTTAGTAAAGAATAATTATCTTATTAAGTATAATTATGATGCTTTCTGTTAGTCATTCATTGCCATGATTCTGGTTCCTATTTTAAGAAAGGCCTTAATAAATATTAATAAATAATTTCTTACCAATAACAGCCAACTTGTTCTGAAGCTCATCTTTTTCCTTCTTTAACTGGTCCCTCTCATTTGTCACACTGTTGTAACTGGCCTGTAACTGGTCTCTCTCTACAGTCAGGTTGGTGTACCTGGTCTGTAACTGGTCTCTCTCTATAGTCAGGTTAGTGCATCTGGTTTTTAACTGGTCTCTCTCTATAGTCAGCTTGTCGCTCTCCTTCTTTAACTGATCCCTCTCATTTGTCACGTTGTTATAGCTGGTCTGTAACCGACTTCTATCTACAGTCATGTTGTTGTAACTGGTCCTTAACTGGTCTCTCTCTATAACCAGATTGCTATTTTTAATCTGTAACTGGTCTCTATCTGTAGTTAGTTTGTTGTAACTGGTCCGTAACTGGTCTCTTTTTATAGTCAGGTTGGTGTACCTGGTCTGTAACTGGTCTCTCTCTATAGTCAGGTTAGTGCATCTGGTTTTTAACTGGTCTCTCTCTATAGTCAGCTTGTCATTCTCCTTCTTTAACTGGTCCCTCTCATTTGTCACATTGTTATAGCTGGTCTGTAACTGGCTTCTATCTACAGTCAGGTTATTGTAACTGATCCTTAACTGGTCTCTCTCTATAACCAGATTGCTGTTTTTAATCTGTAACTGGTCTCTGTCTGTAGTGAGTTTGGTGCAACTGGTCTGTAACTGGTCTCTGTCTGTAGTGAGTTTGTTGTAACTGGTCTGTAACTTGTCTCTGTCTGTAGTGAGTTTGTTGTAACTGGTACGTAACTGGTCTCTGTCTGTAGTGAGTTTGTTGTAATTGGTCTGTAACTGGTCTCTGTCTGTAGTTAGTTTGTTGTAACTGGCCTGTAATTCATCTTTCTCCAAAGTCAGGTTGTTCTTGCTCATCTTTAGCTGGTCTCTTTGAGTAGCCAGGTGATTCAACTTTGTACACATCACTGTGATGGCAATCAGCAGGAGAACACACAGCAGCCCCAGACACACTGCAGTCAGTATGTAGGTTCTGCTTCCTGCAGTGTCTCGTCCTAGAAGGGAACGGATACAGAGAGAAATTCTTTAGCCTTATTTATTTGGATATTCATAAGCGGCAATCGCAATTTAGGTCTTTATTTGCCTTCAAGCCCTTCTTTTCTAATTCCCCCTTCTCCTCAAACACAAATAAACATGTGATTGTATTGCCTTTTGATTCAGCTACATTTTATGTTTTTATTTTGTTTGTGACTTCTCAAAGAATGATCCTTATTCAATCTAACTGAATTGTACTAAATGATGAGCAGGACTTGCTCCAGGACTATTCAGAGACGTGGACATGGACAACAGCAGCGCACTTGACTTGAAGGTTCAACTGTTAGCATGGGAGGAGTCGTTGGATGTTCTCCACCACAAGGGAAGGAGCAGGAATTACTTCAACCACATACAGGGCAGCACTGGAGACACTGGGCAGGACTGGAGTGATGTGTGTGCACATGTGCTCCATTGTAAGTACTGGTACAATATCACTGCCGCTTTACATCATTTTTTCATTTATTTGAAATGAAGACGAACTTCCGATATCTTCAAGACGAACCTCCGATATCTGGAACTGTCCAATATCTGACATAATCTATTCACAAATACGTTATCCTCTGCTGAAATAACACAGCAGTCATGGTCATCAGGCTCACTGTGAAATAACTTCACCAAACATCATTTCTTCCTAGTAAACATGAAGCAGGAATTTAACCACAGGACAGTTATTTTTGGTGTTTTGCTGGGCTCGGCAGCTGTGGCCCTAGGACTGAAAGAATTTGCGTGTTGATTGCAACTCTTTAGAATGACTTGATGATCATTCTACCTTAATTTGCGTGCTTTGGTCCGCTCCCACCTGCAGTGGGCTGGTTTCCTGCCTGCTTCTGCACACAACACTGAAAATTAGTCCCGTGCCATGAGATATGACAGGAGTGCAGAGTCTATTACAGACTACACAGAGGTAAAGGACATAACAAGGGGCCAAGTTTATACACACTTAAGATGTGTCTCAATGTGAAGGCTGCTGAGAAGGTAGGAGAGACCTTCCCAGCACTAGTATGCGAAGACTCCTCTTTAGCGCTCACTCATGCACATTTAGGACGGCCTGACCAATGTGACACATTAAAGTTACATTTTATTAAAACATTCCATTGAAATTTACATTTCATTGCAATCTTTTTTTCTTTTTTTCTTTTTTCTCCTCTTGTTTTCCTGTTTCTGCCATTTTTTCAATTGTTTTGAGCTGTGCATGATGGATTGTGGGAGACTGAAGGTCCTGAAGGACCAGCAATTTCTCACAAAAGAAAGACGCATCTCTCGACAGCATTCAAAGACCCTATAAAAAGGAACTGCCTTCAGTGATGTAACGGTCGAAAAACAAGCTAAAAACTATGACAAACAGAAGTGAAACTAGGGACATATGGAGATAAAACAGAAGTAGGAATGAAACGGCGTGGTGACTGAACTGGGAAACTGTGACAGTGTGAAAATATAACAAAATAAATTGAACAAAATAAATTCAAACATATGTTCTTAATTTTTCAATGGAAGAAAGGAATGGAAGTTACAAGCCTTGTGCTTGTCTTGGGGGGAAAATCATTATAAATAGTAAATGACAGTGACAGCATGACAGTGAAAAAAGGAACAAAACTCAGCTTTTAATAAGTAAAACATTTTTGCTAATGCAAACTTACAAAACTTACAAATAGTTATCTAAATGAGTGAAAAAAAAAAAACCATGCAAGAATTTTGTTGCCCAACTTTGTTTTTCCCACGGAACAAGTTGGTGTTAACATTTATCATTAAATTCAATGTGTCAAAACTTACTAATACTAATACTTAATACTAATACATAATAAAAATGTCCCACAAACCATTAGTACGTTTTGCCACAAGGGTGGGCAGTATGGGGTCTTAGTATTTTAATCCTAGTTTTGGTCCCACTTGTACACTTACCCTATTTGCACAACTGTGATCTGTTTCCACACCAATACTAAATATACTCATTTAGAATAAACCCATTACTTTTAAGTAAAATATACTACATGAAAGTATCATTTTTGCTTAACAAAAATTATAAAATAATTAAAATAATTATTAAGTGACCTGATGAGGAAGTAACAATATTTAAGCCTTCAGAGGAGCACAGACTTAAAGCTGGTCATTTCTGTTTAAGTTCAGGGCTGATAATTAATTGTTATCTTTTCACTAAACTGATCAGCCTACTCTAATGAAGGCAGAATACCCTATCCAATTACAGAGATTATGTGATGTAGGCCAGTTAAAAAGGGCCTGTTATCAGTAACCAGTGGCAAAGGATTCATTTTTCTTCAGTTCTGGCTAGTTGAGGCTGTTAGTTGTGCATTTAGTGAAAGTTTTTTCTGCTCTCTGACACTCTCTGAGCGCAGTACGTTACGAAGTGATTCATCTTCCACAGACGTCTGTCATTGGTTTACTGTTGCAATGGATTCTGGTCCTGGTACTGATCTAAAGTACATGTGGACCTGTGTGGAGTCTAATCTTACATCCCTGTCCTGATTTTACTTCCCCTGGTTTCCAGGCATGATTTTTGCAATGTTATTGGATACATATCAGAGCTGTCAATCAACTGTTCAGGGAGGAACCTCAAAAGGCACAGGTAGATATGTGTGTGCCTGAATCATAAATAAACACACAGCACAGCTAGCACATAATTTAATTAAATCAGTGACAAATTTACAGTTAAATATATATATAATATGTGTGTGTATATATGTATATATATATATATATATATATTTACATACATACATACATACATACATACATAAATACATCATATAAACCACTTATCCTTCTGGGTCGCGGTGGGGTGCTGGAGCCTGTCACTGGGCGGAAGGCAGGACACACCCTGGACAGGTCACCAGTCCATCGCAGGGCAGACAGACAGACATACATACACAATCACACACACATTCACACCTAGTCCAATCGGCCTGACAGCATGTCTTTGGACCATGGAAGGAAACCGGAGTACCCGGAGGAAACCCACGCAGACATGGGGAGAACAGAAATGAAAATATGCTAGCTGGCTAACTTCTATGGAAGTGAAATTTAGACAGGAATACACATTGGCAGTGACTGACTATCTAGCATGCTCTGCCTCTTATATATATATATATATATATATATTATATATATATATATATATAGGATGTTCACTTATGGATGGGTGTTCACTTGGTTTCAAACTCACAATCTCCTGTTGGGTTGATGTCTTAGTCTATTGCACCACTCAGGAGCACCTGAGGCTACTTAGATTGTGTCCATAAATGTTTACTACATGGATGCTTGTGGGGATTGTGTGATGGAAAGAGCCTCAGCTAGACGGAAAATGAGTAAAAAACGCTACATTGTTTGCCTAACTGAGGTGCACAACTAGAAAAGGGAGTTAAAAGAACTTTTGACTAAACAATGTTTGGGTTCAGTGACTTAACGTTCCCAAATTGTCAGATTTTTCATCATGATGCCATAGTTCTATGGTACACTGTTAAACCGTGTTATACTGCAAATAGTATAGAATACTATACTATAGAATACCGTGCTATACTGCAAATAGAGTTTTTGTGATAAACCAGTTTGTTGGCACGAAACATACTACAAACTACTGTTCTTTTAGCAGTAAACACGTGTCAGTGCCTTGTTAATTGACATATTGGTGTGAAAACTTTATATGCTACATCTCTAGGGTGCATCCCTCAATGTGTAGGTGTGTGTTTATATACTGCACCTGAGCTCTTGGGTTCCTGATAGGAGGCTGTAGTCCTGTTGCTTTCCAAACTGTTGTCAGAGTCATCTGAATCAAATTTGTCATACTTAATACCAGGTTTTGCTCTTCTGTAATCATTCATCTCCATTCTGTTATCTTCTGTAATCGAAGCCTTGCAGTGAAGTGTGCATCTTTGGAAGATGTATCAAGTTTATAACTTGTGGTGTGTTGTGCAACATTTGCATCATTGACGTAGGTGACCACAGAACAGCACTTTTCTTCCATAGAAATCACATGTTGCCATCCTTAAGTCTTGACTCACCGCAAAGTTTCTTTCACTTGCCCTTTTCTTCAGGAGTTATGTGCTTATGCAGTGTACTGGGGTGGCTGGTTTTGGGAAAGGAGCTTTAGGAGTGCGGTATGACCAGCAATTGTAGCCATCAAGGCAGAGGAAAACTATAAAAAGTTCTTCCAGCTTCCAGCTCACAATTTCCACTGTCCAAAATGTCAGAAAAGGATTAGCAGTTAAGGTGAACTGCATGAGTCAAGGCAAGATTTAGAAAACCAAGGAAACTCGGGTACAACTGCTAGTATACTGACCATAAAGGCAAAGCAAAACCCTCAAATGACAGAAAAAGACCTGCAAAAAAGGTTTAGCTGAGACAGAAGTGGTGTTAAAAAAAACATCTGGGAAAATCTAGATGCATTTTGGACTGATGAAGTAAAAATGCAACTCTCTGGTCACAAATCACCAAAGGTATGTTTGGACAAATAAAAGGAACAGCATTTGATGAAAAGAACACCATGCTAACTGTCAAGCATGGGAATGGATCTATTAAGATTTAGGGTGGTGTAGTAGTGAATGGCACAGGCAACACTGCACAGGTGGATGGAAAATGAATTTTACTGAATATCAGTAAATTCTGAAAGCAAATGTGACACATTCAAGAAACTACAGTGGAAAATTGGCTGACTTGTACAATAAGACAATAATCCAAAACATACCTCAATCTACCACAGACTACTTCAAGAAACACTGGCTCCTGCAAGGGCCCCTGTAGTTCCCTGGAACATCACTAAAAATGTAGATCATTAACATGATGTGAACGTAAGATGCCTCAGGAATATTACAGAACTAGAATGGTTCTGTAGGGAATAGTGGGATAGAATTCCTAAAACAACATAGAAATACTTCTAGCTGACTACAAAAAAATTGCAAGCTGTGATATCAGCCAAAGAGGGTGTTATTAAGCAGTACATTAGTAGGGTATCAAAACTTTTGCATATGCCACAAAATTTATTTTTTTCTTTTAATGAAGTTCTTAATGTAAAGTAACTTTGTAATCACTTTTGCAGAAAATTCATATATTCATATTTAAGTGAACTTTTAAAGGTTACTCTGTTCTATGTCTGGTCCTGTTCAGCACTGATGATATTTCAGATTAATACACCTTGAAAAAGGATAATATAGTCATAGCTAAAGCCCCTGTCCTTCTAATGAAAAATAACTGACCCCATCTCAGGCCATTTGTCAAGCCTCAAAATGTCAGATGGTGTAAGCCAGAACTTTCACAATGTTGTGGCCAGTTTAGACCCCGTGGGGGCCTTTTAGGGTGGCAGAGGAAAAAAAAACAACACAGCAAAATGTGTTGAATTTACTCAACACAATTACAGCTGAAAGTTGATGTGTTTTTATTCTTTTATGAAGAAAATGATGTAAACATTTAAATCAATCAAATTGAATGCATCACTTTTGTTTCCAGGGCATTAATGTTAATATTTTAGATCATAGAATTTAGACTGCCCTCATTACAGGTCACTCATGAGTCTGATGATAAAGCAGACAGACGGCTGAGTAAAAGGTGACATTATTACTAAACAGTCTTTGGCTGGGTGCCGAGCTGAGCTTAGCACAAACATATTCCACTCAGCACTGGATTCACCTCAGATGAATATGACCTCAACACACATACTCAGCTATAAAAGGGAATTAACATGACAAATGATTATAGCTGATTCATTTTGCATCACTAGTGTGTATATTACCTTTGCCTACTTCATTGACTCTAGCTCCCAGAACAGCACTGCTAAACAAACATGCATAATTTCATTATGTAGTAGAGTGACATCATTACTGTCTGCATCAGTCTCATCTGCACACAAAGCCAAGTTATTATTATGGTTAATCAGCTACTGTTTTTGAATCATTATAATTACTATGGTTTTAACTTTGCTCTAAGCTCAGGTAGCTCCCTTTTGACTTTTGTCTCATATGAGGAGAGGAGAGGAGAAGCAGGGGCTCACTAACCCGGTACTAAAGGCTGTTTATTTCTGTTATCTGAATAAAATCCTCATGACGAAAACACAATGTAAATTTCTTTTGTCTGTCAGTGGTAGAGGTATCAACGTCTACTGGTTACAGATTATGTATGCAGATTAAGTAAACTTTTAAAAGAAGATTAATTTCATCAAATGCAATATTTTATATGATGTAGCTTCTGTTCCTGTAATGAAAAACAGTCTGACAACCAGCTTTAGTTTCACTTCTGCTTACTGGCAAATTGATTTGGCAATACGTAGTTCTTGTTTCAAATGAAGGAATCTCTCAGACGAGTGGTGAAGGCCTCTCTCTTAAACAGCTCTGAGAGAATTGTCTTCAGAACATGTCTTGCATATTCATGACCACTGGACAATGAGTATGCACTTCATGGGAAGCTTGTGCACTGTGTGTAACTCTGGTATGTCTTATAACATGAGGTACGTGGACACCTGACCTTCACATCTAGCTAAGCTTGTTGGACATCCCGTTCCAAAAAACATTGGCCTTAATATGGGGATCCATTAAGATCCTTCACTCTTCTGGGAGGGCTTTCCACAAGATCTTGGGGGCTCATATTCAGTTGCCCAGCCATGGAAACCCATTTAATGAAGTTCCTAATGCACAGTTCTTGTTCTGATGTTTTTTCCAGAGGCTTGCTGTGTGAATTTGTGATCTGCTGTTCATGACTGAGCTGTTGTCGCTACTAGATGCTTCCAGATCACAATAATAGCACTTACAGTTGACAGGGGCAATGTGAAGTAATTAATGTGAATTTAGCCAAAATTCTAATAACACAGTATGTGTTTTTGACAATTAACATATTTGACTTTTTTTTTTGCCTCGTGATTGCAAGTTTCCTGCGAATTAGTTGCGCAGATGTGGTTTTGCACTAGCATAAGCACCACCAGGAACAATTTCACATTTCCCCCATATTACAGTACTGAAAGTTGCTGTCTGCATGTAAGTATGTTGCAATTGCATTATTTTTACTTGGAATGTTATACTGGTGTGTACAGATTTGTATTTTACCAAAGTACTTACACTAGAACATGTAAACCATAGCCTATTAATCAGATTTAAAACAAATATGTGAGCAAAAAAAAGACGAGTAAGCATGTACTTTTTTAAGTCAGCAATTTCTACACAACTCATGTAAAAAGAGGACATCCAGAATGTTCAGTTGAATTCACTGAATTCTTACAACAGACTTGACCCAAAGCAGCTTTCCAGCAAGCTGAAAGCAACAGTGGCAAGACAAAATGATGCAGAAACAATGAGAAGAACCAAACAAAAAGGCAAAAAATAAAACAAGTGATGATAATAGAGGCTTTCAGATTAGACGGAAAAAGTTAAACCAACACTTAACAGTAAAAGTGATTTCATAATCCAAAAAAATCCATAAAATGACAATACAGGTACAATACTTACAATACAAGTGCAGACGGAGCAATGATAACACAGTAAAAACAAGTTTTTAACAAAGATTTAAATACAGACAGAGAGGAGGCATCCCAAATAGACTAGGGGAGAGTATTCCATAATTTGGAAGTTGGAAAAATGCTGTCTGAACTACAGAATTGAATGTGAATGTCAAAGGACAGTGTGGGGTCAAAAATAACTCCGAGATTGCAGATGCGGTGAGACGGTGTTCCCATCAATATTAAAGCCAAGTGTTACAGAAAATATCTAAATAAACCAGAAAACAGTAAAGTCTCAAAGTCACAATTAATGCTCCAAAGTAATGTTTATTAAAGCTCACGGCCGAAAAGGAGGTACTGGAAAACCCCAGAGATCTCCGAAGACAGACCAGAGTTACAAAGGTTATATATTCTCCAAATGGGGTGTTGTTTCTTGCGTGTTAACGTATATAATGAATAAAGAGGAAGGAAGCTCTAATATGTCAGAAAACTTTACCCACCTGGCCCCTTCTAGAAACTCTTCTCTCTGCACCCTCAAGGCCAATACACAATGAATCACAGTAGGCCCTTGTCAGTTCAGCCAGGCCTCAGGACTGATAACAGAAGCCTAGAGCCTGGGAAGCTGCAAGGAGTTGACCCCCTATCTACCTTGTGCATGTTAGGAAACAGTGAGAGTCCACCTAATGTGTAGAGTAAGCTGCTTCTACGACTAAAAGCACTATAAACTACATTCCTATATTCTTCTTGTAAGCATATGTCATGGTTATATAAGTAAAACAACATGCTATACTGGAATCCGCTTAAATGGGTTACATGCATGCAAAGCTCACCAAGGTGAAGCCTTGGTTACCAAAATGAAATCCACACAAGGACAGAAGTACTAGATATCAGTGCCTTTGAACGATTAAAAGCAACAGCAGTATGTGAATCGTAAAGAGTAATGGACCTAAAACTGAGTCTTGGGGAACACCCTTAGTTACAGACACAGTAGAGGATTTGTGATTCTGAATAGCTACATATTGCTGTCTATCACTATGATATGAAAGTCAGCAAAGAGCGGATCCAGTAATACAAATGCTGCACATATGAGAGAGTAATAGATCATGAGATACGGTATCAAAAGTAGAGCTAAAGGAATAAGAGCTCCTGAATAAATTGCACATGAAAGATAATTGGTAAGTCTTAAAAACTGATGGACAGAAGTAAGTGGATGGTAGATTGAGTCAATTTTATGCTGAAAAAAGTAAGCAAATTCATTGCATAATTTAACTGATCCAGAAGAAGCTACGACTGGGGGCTGCAGGAATTTGTCAATAGTGTTGAAAAGGGTCTTGGGCTGGCATGAGCTACGGTGGATCACCAAAGATGTATAAGTAGAATGAGCCCTATTTGAAGCATCTTTGTATCTACACGTGTTCTGCATAGGCCAGAGAATATACAGTAAGGCCAGTT